GAGGAAGAACAATGGTGCAATGTCAACTGTGTGGAAAGATGGGGCACACTGTGGATCGATGCTGGCATCGGTTTGATCAGTCATTTTCTGAAATTCTTGCTGATAAGCATGAGTCCTTTAATACACAATTAACTGGTTTTGATAGTGAAGGTTATACCTGTGTAAACAGTGGATGTGCTCCAATGCAGACCTTGTCTTCAACATCTTCCAGCTCAGACAAATGGGTTATAGACTCAGGAGCTACTCATCATGTAACTCTAGACAGTTCCAAACTTAACAATGCATCTGATTATTCAGGACCAGGTAAGTTAGCTGTGGGAAATGGACAGAATCTTGATATATACAAGTCTGGATCATCTCTCATTCGAGCTAGATCTCGAGCTCTTTACATTAATAATCTTCTGCATGTTCCTGATGTCACTTAAAATCTTTTGTCTGTCTCTAAGTTTGCTAGAGAGAACGGGGTATTTTTTGAGTTTCATAGGAATCATTGCTTGGTGAAAGATGAGAAGACTAGAGTAGTGCTGGTGCAAGGATGTGAGACTGCTGGTTTGTATCATTTTGCTGCTGATAATGTTTCTTGTGATAAGAAATCAAACTCAATGATAGTAAATGTAGCTACTAGCATAAACATGTATGATTTGTGGCATCAAAGGCTTGGGCATCCTACTCATGCATCATTGGTGCAAATTTGTAAACAAATTGGAGTCAATATTGCTCCCTCGATAAATAAAGAGAGTACAAATGTTTGTGTAGCTTGTAGAACGGGGAAGATCCATAAAATACCGTTTCATGAGTCTAAAACAGTGTATGAAAAACCTTTTCAGTTAGTGTTTTCTGACCTATGGGGACCCTCGCACATAACTTCAAATGGTTTCAGCTATTATGTGTCTTTTGTAGATGCATGTACAAGGCACTGCTAGGTATATTTACTTAAGAACAAGAATCAAACAATGCATGCTTTCCACTTGTTTCATACATTTGTTAAGACTCAGTTTGAGACAGAAATAAAGGAACTGCAAACTGACTGGAGTGGAGAGTACAGACCATTCACAGCAATATTGCCAAATATGGGGGTTCATCACCGATTAACCTGTCCTCACACCTCAGAACAAAACGGTGTTGTTGAACGAAAACATCGGCATGTTATTGAATCAACACTGGTCTTGATGGCACAAGATTCTTTACCTTTAAGGTTCTGGTCATATGTTGTAAGTACATCTGTGTACCTTATTAATCGAATGCCCACCAAGGTTCTGGATGGAAAATCACCGTTTGAAGCCCTTTACAATAAGCTACCAGATTACAGTGGTGTGCGTGTTTTTGGGTGCAGGTGTTTCCCACATCTTCGAATGTTTCAGCAACATAAGCTAGACTTTAGGTCTCAACCATGCACGTTCCTTGGTTATAGCGCTCATCATAAGGGATATCAATGTCTTGCACCAAGTGGGAAAATCTTCATCTCAAGGCATGTAGTTTTTGATGAATCTTGTTTTCCTTTTGCAGGAAGCAGTGACAAAACAACTAAGACAGGTCAGATGTCACCTCGAAAGCTGACACATATCAAAGATGCTCATAGAGTGTGTGCTCGAGCTGATGATTACATGAATATAGGTGAAAATCATATTCATGTTCCATCACCTAGAAACAATTCAGTTCGAGATTCTGAGTTGATGAACCAGTCTGCTGGAGATGGAAATGTTAACTCGGCTCGTCATGACACAGTTGATAGTGATATTGAAGGAGCTGGAATTGAGCAATATGCACATGATGAAAATGTTGCAGTAGATGAGCAACAAGGGTTGACACAATCAGACTCAGAAGATGTTGTGAGTTCCAAGGTTGCACCTAGTCATCACATGATAACTAGAAGCAAGAGAGGTATATTCAAACCTAAAGTGTATCTGAGTATGCAGGATGGTGAGGAAGAAGAGCCACATTCGATTCAAGATGCACTTCAGTCTGATAAGTGGAAGGCAGCTGTTCAAGAGGAGTATGATGCCTTGGTCAGGAATAACACATGGACCCTGGTAAGATTACCTAAAGGCATAATTCCAGTTGGATGTAAATAGTTGTTTAGGATAAAACGGAATGCTGATGGCACGTTGTAAAGATACAAAGCCGGATTGGTGGCCAAGGGTTTTTCTCAAATTCATGGACAAGATTTTCAGAATACATTTAGTCCAGTAGCAAAGTCATCCATAATTAATGTGATACTTGCTGTAGTTGTTCAAAAACAGTGGTGCTTGAGGCAGGTAGACATAAATAATGCTTTTTTAAATGGAGATTTGTAGGAAGAAGTTTATATGCAACAGCCCCAAGGATTTGAAGAAGTGGAATCAGATAGAACTCCCTTAGTGTGTAAGCTAAATCGAGCATTGTATGGACTGAGGCAAGCTCCTCGAAATTGGTATGTTAAGCTGAAGGAACATTTGGTACATATTGGCTTTGAAGTGTCACTTGCAGATTGTTCATTATTTGTAATGAGAAGAGAAAAATTTGTAGTTTATGTCTTGGTATATGTGGATGATATAATTGTTACTGGAAATTCGGTGTGCAAAGTTGAAGAAGTAGTCAGCTTGCTTGGTGAGAAATATTCTCTCAAGGACTTGGGACAACTCAACTTCTTTCTTGGAATTGAGGTCAAATATGTGGGTGATAGCATTTTTCTGAGTCAAAAGAAGTACATCATGGAATTGCTAGGTAGAGTGCAGATGAGCAAAGCCACTCTGATGCCCACACCAATGGTCTCATCCCTCAAGCTGACCAAAGAAGCTGGCAGTCCTCTTGTTGATCCAAAAGAGTACAGAAGTCTTGTAGGCTCGTTATTGTATGCGTGTCACACAAGGCCAGACATAGCATATAGTGTTAATAAATTAGCTCAGTTCATGCATGCACCGTGTGAGCAACACTTGTCTGCTGTGAAAAGAGTACTTAGATACTTGAATGGCACCTTGGATCATGGACTTGTTTTGTCTCGAAATGATTCACCATTACAGATTACTGCATTTGCAGATGCTGATTGGGCAGGAAGCATGGATGACAGGAGATCAATCTCAGGTAATTATTTGTATCTTGCTGGCAATCTAATCGTATGGAGTTCTAAGAAACAAAAGACTATATCTAGGTCCACAACTAAAGCAGAGTATAAGAGTTTGGCTGATGTGTCTTCTGATGCAACGTGGGTAGCTGCATTGCTTGATAGTATGGGGATTGAGCTACAAGGCACACCTGTTATATGGTGTGATAATTCTAGTGCCATATCTATGAGTGCTAATCTAATTTACCATGCTAAAACTAAGCATGTGGAGTTGGATGTGCATTTCGTGAGAGAAAATGTGGCAACAAACAAATTGAAGGTGAACTATGTACCATCTTCACATCAGGTAGCAGATGGTTTCACTAAGGCATTGTCAAAAGATTACTTCAATGTGTTCAGACAAAGGTTGGGAGTTGTTTCGTTAAAAGAAGTTGAAGATGGAAGGAGCATGGAGCATATTGGATGGACTACATCATAAGCATGCTCGAGCATGTAGCATATATAGTCTTGCTTAGTTAGTTAGTTGAAATGTAACTGCCTTTCTAGTATAGCTGGTATAGCAATTATACATTGATTGTATATAAAGACATGCAGAGTCTTGTACACACAATTAACAACAATGATCTGTTTTTCATAGTAATTGAGTTTTCTATCAAGCAGCAAGACAAACAACAGTTGACAGACGATGGTCAAACCTGCTATGAGGATGAGCCATAGTGAAAGATGCAGCACAAATAAGATCTATGTTTACTTCAATTCTTTCTTCACGATGCTTTCATAGAATCATAGAAAAGAGGGCGACAACTAACATTTGTTTTAAGTTGTGTATTAACATCTTTAGTTAAAAAAGATAATATGATTTTTTTATTAATAGATAATATAATTATTTTAAAATGGTATTGTATCAACGGATAATATTATTGTGTTAATATTATGTAATACTAAATATATAATTAAAATGATGTTTAATGTGATATAATTTGTTATTTTTAACATAAGTCTAGAAAAAATACATATTTTTAATAAAAATGTAAGATTATAACAATTTAATCGAAATATAAAATATTAATTAGAACCTAACGTTAAAATTTTCAATAAACATCCCAAAAACTTTCCAATATAAAACAATTTATTTATAGCACAATCAATATAATTATATTTATTATCTATAGTTAGTTGAAAAAACAAGTGAAATTAAATTTTAATTTAATGCACTTATAAAAAATATTGTAATATATATATATAATTTTACAAAATATAATTTCATAATAATAAAATTAACTTAATAAAAACAATCAATTAACTAAACGAGAGAGATATTAATCTTCTTAATTAAGATTAGAAATTCAAATTTTGACATATATGAATAAAGTAAATTGAGTAAAGAGGGTCATGCTCATAATAAATTTATATAAAACCTAATCTAAAATGATTAATCAATATATGGGATATCTAATTAATCAATATTACAATATGTATTTATTTTATAAAAATATTTTTAAAAATTATACTAACACATTTTTTAGAAAATCAATTATCCTAAAATAAATAGAAATGATAGCTAATCCGGCAACTTATGAGAATGTTTAAGGGACATTAACAAAATTAAGGCTAAGAAAAGACGCAACTTAAAATATTTTAAAAAATATAATATTTTAAGTTATTCAAGATCTAAAATATTAATTTTTTTAATATTTTTTATTATACACATTTTTTATAATATTTTTAATTTTAATAATAAAAATATTACATTCTTTGTAATATTTTTAATTTAACTAATAAAATAAAAAAAATTTACATTTTAAATTCTGCGCACCCTACCCGGAAAAGCTTGCCTTACGACAGAACCTCCCCGCAGTTTATTGACGGTTATTAAACCCATGAATTAAAGGGCGAAAGATGAGTAAAATTAAAATGCAGTATAAAATACAAGTACTTCATCCTTGAACTATCCAAAAGTTGTAGACAACAACCTTAGAGACGGTCGAGTTGGAATTTAAAGGTCCGTCAATTCAAGAATTGAAGGAGCAAAAATCAAATATTGGAGGAAAAGAAAGAAAATGAGCAAAGACGATGGCGGAAGCAGCTTAGATATTAACATAATAGTGAAGTTTAGCGGAAGATCCATACCAATATCGATATCAAAGGATTCAACTATCAAAGAACTCAAATCTCACCTCCAGCCTCTCACCAATGTTCTTCCTCGCGGTCAAAAGCTTATTTTCAAAGGTTTTGTTTCTTCTCTCTCTTTTTGCAATTTTATTTGAGTATTTTAGGTTTATAAAGATTGGGTTGTTTACAGGGAAGCTTTTGGTGGACGCAATGACGTTGAAGGAATCAGAGGTCATGAATGGAGCCAAGCTCATGCTTATGGCTTCCCAGGGCTTGCACCAAGGGGTATTTCTTTAATTATTCTCTTTTTTAAATCATATATCTCGTTTCATGTTTATGGTTTCAATTAAAAAGAGAATGGGTTTTCTTTCTTCAGAATTTGTCTGTTTTTAATTATTTGGAAATGTTGAAACTATCAAATTGAAGATTTTGTCTACTTTTAAGAGTTCCTTTCTTTCTTTTTTGGGAAATGAACAGGGCGGACCTATTCTAATAGAAGCTCAAACTCGGCCTATTTCAAGGACGAAGGAAACCGAGTATAAAAGGTCCGATGCCAGGACTGAGATTATTATGGATAAGAGTCGTTTGGAGCGATGGAAGGTTACTGGAGTTATTGCATTAGCTGACTGTAGTTTGAAGGTATCTGTGTGATGATTTAGGGGCATTGCTTTTGTCAATTGATCGTAGTTTTCAAGTGTGGTTTTCCGCCTATGTATTTACTTAATATCTTGAAGAACTGGGGTTCCTATGTTAAACAATTTCCAAATTATTTTTTGTGGATTTGATTTTGTAAGGCCATACCTGATGAAGTATGGGATTGTGGGTCTTCTGCAAGAGTCCTGGATGTCAGTAACAACAGCATCCAAAATATACCAAACAAAATCAGCTGTTTGAATTCCATTCAGGTATACTGAACTTTTTGTTTCCCTTAGTGTTGCGGGAATTTCATTTGAGATACTAGGTTAAGTTGTATATTATTTTATGCAATTTAGTATTTGAATCTCTACCTTTTGTAGAAACTGTTCCTCAATGCGAATGGTATTTCTGATGAAACTATTCAGTGGGAAGGATTAACATCTTTGAAGTATTTAACAGTTCTATCAATCACTCAAAACCAGTGAGTTTATTCTCTTCGTCTTATCAACCTTTTACTCCTTGTTGGAATCAAATTGTGTCCAATATACTTTCCTATGATTATTCTCGCAATACCAGGTAAAAGCTTCTTTTTTTGACGAACAATTGTGACTTCTAAAGGTCATGGATGAAAATGGAACATTGATAAAAGGTCATGGATGAAAATGGAACATTGATAAAAGCTCATGGATCACCAGTGTGAACTAAACTCACTTTATCAATATAAATTATCCTTTCCAACTCTGAACGCTTTGGCCTCTGATCTAAACCTGTTATGGTGCTTGTGAAAAAAATAAGTTTTTTAGGGCTAGAGTTTACTTCTGTAAAACAAATCTCCAATTTTCTTTTTCATTGCTTGTGAAAGCCATGTCTTTTAGGTGTTAGTTGCTGGTGGTGAAGTACTTTTCTTTGAGGTATTAAGGAGTTTTGGTCATTGCTCTCTGTACTAGGCATAATTTATTGGTTATTTGTTGGGTTACATTGTTCGTACAAGGTTACTGAGCACATGGTCTTTGATTAGAGCTTTTTAACTGGCACAAAATGATCAATACAGCAAACTCTATGTAGTAGGAAATTCTTTAGGTTGCTCGTTATACTACTCATAATTTGATTGCATTCCCATTGTAACGTAACAGAAATGTTAATGTCAAATCCGATCTGCAGGTTGACCACTTTACCTCCTGCACTTGGCTCTCTGACTTCTCTAAGGCAGCTTCATGTTTCCAATAATAAGTTGACTAGCCTTCCTAATGAAATAGGCTTGCTGACTCAGCTTGAAGTTTTGAAGGCCGATAATAATCGGTAAGTAATGTTTTCATCAGGATGTATTAAAGGGCTGTAACATAGGCTTCTTTTCAATACATGATAAAATCACATTCACTCGTGTTTTGGTTGGTGTTATCCGTTTTTTGTTATTCAGAATAACCACTATTCCGGCATGCATCGGTGAATGTGGTTCTCTTGTTGAGGTGTAGGATTCTTGGCCCTTGTCTTTACATATAATCTAGCTATAGTACACGTAACAATTCAAATGCATTGTTTAACTAAACTGCTTAATATGTTTCAGGTTGATCTTTCAGAAAATCTTCTATCAGAACTTCCCGATACCTTTGGCAATTTGCACAATTTGAAGGTCTCCACTAGGTTCTTTATTCTGTCAGTTTTACACGCGCGCGCGCACACACAGGGGTAGGATCCGTTGACACAATATGAAATTTTGAGTTTTACACCTTTATTGGATCGTCGGATGATTGAAAATGAATGATTGAGATTAACATTAAGAGATGAGTAGATGTCTATCCTCAATTAAAAAGCTGTAATCTCAGCCATCAAACTTAGTTAATCCAACGATCCTAAAAGGTGTAAAAGTTTTACACTGTGTAATTGAATCCTAACTTATGTATATATATATATATAACTGTAGCAACTCTAGAAAAGTAGAAATAAATTCCCTTCCATTTGCTTAATTAATTTTGCACCAAGGTCATTCACATGGGTAGCTGGTCCATAGAAATAGTTGGTTTTCATGTCTGGAGCTTTCCCTTAAAATAAGTGATTACAAGTAATGTATTTATTTCATTGTCTTTACTATGCCTGCAGGCGTTGCATCTCAGTAATAATGGCCTAAAATCCCTGCCTTGTACCTTATTCAAACATTGCCTCCTGCTCGCCACACTGGATCTCCATAACTCTGAAATCACAATGGATGTCCTGCGTCAGGTGCATATTCCAATCCCTATATCATAGTTACTAGTTAAAGTGGACCTCATTTGTGGTTTAAATCATTTGAGATGCCTGATTAAGACATTCCTTTGAATAGTTTGAAGGGTGGGAAGAGTTCGATGAACGCCGGCGATCGAAGCATCAGAAGCAGCTGGATTTTCGAGTTAACTCTGCTGGATTTGACGAAGGCGCGGATAAAAACTAAGCCTTTCTATCATTTTGTAGTTAACAACAGGGAAAAAAAAGACATTGATTCTGCTTGTCTCTGAATAGTTCAAAACAATACTTTCCTTTTAAAAGCAGTGCTTAAACGTCAGCAATGGAGAACGGTGAAATAAATCAACTTAGTAAAAACGATTCATTCTCGACAATTGAAAGGGCAACTGGCAACCACCAGCCTGTTGGTTAACTAACTCAAGTTACCTCTGCCTTATTTGGATAATATAAATTCTAAAGACGAGAGAAAGTTAAAAGAAAGTTGAAAATCCTTTGTTTTTCTTATGATTGTGAGCCTCCTTTTAGCCATGCATAAACTGAACCAACAATTAGGATAAGTAAAAAAATGAAAGCTTCTGTCAATGAGGGCATCCCAATACAGCAATGTACAAAAAATGAAAACTTATGTGAATATGGGTACCCCAATACAGCAAAACTCATTGACCATGTATAAAGAAAAACCGTTTCAACCTCAAAAACAACAAAAATTAGAGCAAACATATAAAAACGGATTTAAAATAGTAACCAACATCGTCCATTGGCTCTAAACCCGATTCCTAACTGGAAAGTTTTTTTCTGAATCCTTTCTAATTATAAGAAATCCCTTCCCTCTTTACTTGGAATGTTGATCCATAAATGTACGAGTCCCTCTTATCTTGTTAATTAACAGATTTATATGATAAAAATCATATTATAGTGTTTTTTCAATATTTTTGTTATAATTTTGTTCTTGATTCAGTTTATATTCTTGATTCAATAATGAATTTGCTTGAAAATCAATTTTTTTCTTTTTTCATTTGAATCTCATTTTGTTAAATCTTTACATTGAGCTAAATAGCGTTGCTTGATTGGCTCTATTTCACCATTGTCCTGATACTAAAGAAGAGCCGAAGGCTAGACTATATTAGTAACAAATCTTTTGTATGTAAAATATCTGGATATATTTTTTGTTGGATAAAGTCGAATCGCAAAGCCTAAGATGACCTAGAAAGCACTTGATCACTATCAACCCAAAAAGTACTTGATCACGATTAACTTTATGCCCCTATTTGATATTGAACATTTACTTGTAAAAATGGAATTCCTTTGAATGTATAGCTGCAACTTCGTAAAATGAAATCCGGGTAACTTTTTCTTACATAGGGAATCACTAATACATGTAAAATGACATATAAATTTATTTTATAGGTATCCGTCTGTATCCATTTTATTCAATTGACTTTTCCTTGAGTCGGATGATAAAAAATTATCATGTCCGGTTCCTTCGAAGATGAATTTAGAAAATTTCATCTATATTAGTAATAAACAAACTTGACTTGAATGATCTTGTTTTAAGAGCATATAAACTAAAATAAGGAAAAAAATGTTGAAAATAAAATAATTTCAAAATATTGTTTTTTTCCTGTTGTTTATTTTATTGTTGTTGTTTGTAATCAATTTAGCCTATTTAACAAAATTAATGAGTATCCATTATAGGTTTTAGTTTTCCAAGGCTTTATACCTTGAATATGATTCATTCATTAGCTTCATCGTGCCAATGAAAATTCTGCTTTATTGTCGATAATTATTTCAAGTTTTAAATTCATTTTCAACAATTTAACAACAAATATAAAATTCAACTTTTTAAATTATTAACACTAGTTAAAATGAGCATTTTATATTTTGGTAAAATGACTTGTTTAAATATCTTTTTAACCATGAGGACTTTAAAGTATATTGGTTTTTTTAATAATTTTTTTAATTTACTTCAAATTTATAGCTATAATTTATTATAATTATTACTATAGTATTATAGTCAAGCCTATGTCTGACTCGTACCACAAACCCATGGGCATCAATAACCCTAGACCTGAACCATAACCCACCAACTAATAGGACCTGTGAAGACATGAGATTCAAAAGTCCAAAATGGAGTGAAAAGGGGAGAGTTTTGAAGTAGTCTTGGGGTTTTCCTTCAGCGTTTGGAGAGTTGGTTCTCAGATCTCAACATATTATCAATGTGCATCATCTTCGAGAGATCCATCCAAAAACTGTCGAATGATTCATTTAGGTCTACGACGATCAAAGCATTATTTGAAGAAACTGACACCAAATTCATAATTGGGAGGCCAAGAAGGTCCGACTTACACTTTAGGGGCGTTTAGGTCAAGAAAAATATCACTATTAAAGGAAATAATCTTTTTTAGTAGTGATATACTCACATTTGGTTCAAAAAGAACTTCCACGGGAGATAATGTACCAACAATGCGTTTGTATCTTGAATTCAATGGAATCACATTACCCATTTTCTTAAGTATTAGACAATTCCCTTCCCTTTGCTTCAAGATCATTCCTTTTGTATATAATTACATGAGTATAAATATATTTTAATTATTTTTAATGAATTATGAATTTTTAATACTTATTATAAAATAATATGATACATAGAAAACAAAAATATATCAAAATTTTAATTTAATTTTAATTATTTTAACTTATGTGTTCGATTTAAATTTTATTTTTACAGATTTTATTACATGTATTATTTAGGATTAATTTTCATAAAAGGTTTTCATATTATATTTTTTAATATTTTATATTAATTTTATCATGTAATTTGATATGGTATTTTGTTTTCCAACTGATACATGTAGCGTAAATAAAAAAGTATAGCAATTAATACATGTTTACACCGGTGTAAGTCTTTACATCTCCCAACCTAAAAATAAACATATACTTACACCGGTGTAAGTATGTACATCTATTGTAAATATGTTTTAATATTTTCAAAGAAATAAAAATATTAAATATAATCAAAAATATATTAAGTTATTTGTGTAAAAAATTTATTTAAAATATATAAATTAGAAATAATAAAAGATATATTTTCTATGAACTTTCATTTGTTAAGAAAGAAAAAATATTTCAAAGACAATTTGGTAAAACATACATTTTTTTATCTTATATTCCTTCATTTTTCTTATTTTATATTTGTTGGGCTCGATCGATCAACCAACAACTGCCAAGAGGGGGTGAATTGACCTTTAAAAATCTTTGGTGGGGAAGCAATAAAAGATAAGAACTAGATGCAAAATTTATATTGGTTTGACTTTCTCAACCAAAGTCTACATCCACTACCTTAGCTTCACACTAAGGATTTCAACAAATATTGTAATTTGTTATTTCTTTTTCTAGGCTCAAGAGTAACTTTTACAATTCTCTAGTTTTTCAAGGCTAAACTATAACCACTCCCCTTTTACAAAGGATAAGAAATGTAAACAAGAAACCTCACAAGGTAGGTGTTTACAAATATTTAAGCTCACAAGAATAAAAACAAAATATATTCAATTAAGCTCTATACACTTCTGTACAAGAGAAAAATGAAAACTCTTTTCTCTTGATCTCAAATCTTGGATAGGTGTAGTAACATTCTTCTAGTGTCATTGAAGTGTTTTTACTGTGTGGAATGAGTTGCTAGCTGTTTATGACTGTTGGGGATGAGTTATAGCCGTTGGGAAGCTTTAAAAACATGCAATAAAGGTCACATGCACATGCAGTTTCGAAACTTTGAAGAAAGTTTCAAAAGTTTTGAGAAAGTTTTGAAACTTTGTGAAAGTATCAAAATTTTTAAACACACTGTTCTTGAAAGTTTCTAAACTTTGATGAAAGTTTCGAAACTCGTATTTAAAAATATGACCGTTGAAGAAAATTAGGCCGCTAAAATAGTTTCTAGGTGAAAAGTTTTGAAACTTTTGTAAAGTTTCGAAACTCTTAATAAAAGTTTCAAAACACTTACAAAGTTTCCAAACTATGAACAGTACATGTGCATGAACAATGTCATGAACAATGACAAATATTGACTGAATAGTATTTTTCATATTTAAAAAGCTTTAAACACATTTTAAACACTTTAAACATATTTTAATTAACTCAGAATATTTCACATATATAAAGAAATCAAGAACACATAATTTTCAATTTATTTTGGACTTTAAATTATTTTTTAATAATTTTTTAGTTAAGTCCAAAATCAATTTTATAAATATTTGTTACATCAAAATATAAGTTCAACAATCTCCCCTTTTTGATATAACAAAACCTCTTTGAAAAATTGTTTTTAACAAAAGCTACCCTTTAGAAAAATATTTTTTGAAAAAGATAATTTAATAAAAAATATTTAAGCTCCCCTTTTTCTTTGAGAAATTTAATTTTTTACTTACTTCCCCCCTTTTTGTTATATAAAAAATAATTTAATAATGGTAATTCAACAATGGAGAATATGTAAAATTAAATAAAATAAAAGGTTCAAACATATAAATCATTTAAAAACAAAGTTCCCCCTTAATGAAAGCATTCCTTGAAAAGTTTTGGCACAAAAACACTTATGTACTTATGAAGAATATTGAATTTCAATAAGATGAACAAACATGTTAGAAGCACATGAAATTCAATATATCCATGCCTAATATACTTTATGCAATACCAATTGTTGTATTTAAGTGCATGTGCATAAAGCTATCCAAAAATGTTATGCATTTGAAAAATTGATATAAGTTGTTAGAGAGATATCATTTACAATAAATTTCATGCATAAATATTTAAATTAAGGTCAAACATTAAAATTTGTAAAAATAAAGCATTAACGCCAATTTTGACCAAAATTCATTAAGATGAACAAATATTTACGAAAAATCATTAAAATTGTTCATCACAACACTTTCTAACATACATGAGATAGAAAATATAAAATTATTTAAAATAAAAAACTCATGCATGCTTAAACCAACTGAGCAACCAATTATGCAAGTTAATAAAAATAAGCTTAGAGGTTATCCATTCCATATCAAGTGTGGCTAAAGTATTTGAATATCTTCACTTTCATTACCATTTCTCCCACACGCCTACAAGAGATATTCAATTGGATTTTGGTATCCAAATTGCTTTGGATCCTTGGACGTTAGTTTCAATGCCCCTTGTTCCCATTGGAACCCATACTTGTCTAATTTTAAAATGTTTTCCTTTCTTTAAAGGACAAGCATGTTCTATGTGACCATGATAATGACAATGTGATCATTTTGTCATTATGAAATTAGATG